CCCCTTCTATTGTTACATTATTAGAAATTTATCCAACTGATTCTACATTAAATTGGAAACCCCAACAAATCTCATCATCACTAGTCACGAAAAGTGGATTAAACAAAATAAAACAACGGATATCATTAGAAATGATTCAATACCTAGGAAGGTTTCTTATCAACAAATTTAAGGGCGCTTGAATCAATTTGAGAGACTAAAGCATCATTCCATCTACAAAGCTTTGATGCAGAAAGGGTTCTAGAAAAGACCGATGAATAATGGTTCTTCTGTCCAAAATCGATCGACCCGGATCTACATACCCCATTAAATAACAAAAAAAAAAAAAATTATGTGTGAGAGGTAAAATCCCGTCAAAGAAACAAAACTCATATAGCGAACAAAGAAAGTCCGATAAAATCTCTGCAACAGCACAAAATATGCCATGAAAAAAATATTGGTAGTCCAAAAAATATAGAGAAAAATGAGGTACAAGAAACACAGTCTTTATTGGATATTAAATTTACCATTTTACCTCGTTCAATTTTAATTTGGGTGGAGTCTCAATTGGATTTTCGGGGACGAAGCTGAAGTGGGGTGGAAAATAAAATTTTAAAGATTTGGGACTTTAGTGATACATATAAAAAATTTGGGTATTGAAATTGTAATTATTCATTTTTAATTTTGACATTTTTTTAATTGTTTTTAACGAAAAATGTGACGAATCTTGACGGCATGGGGGGTTTTCGCACAAAAGGTTTCAAACATGGTGGTTTTCTACGATTTCCAATATATAGGGAGTATATCGCAAATAGAAACGTTCATATGAGGTTTTCTGCTATCAATCATTATATTAAACTTCCGACAACTATAAATCCAACATGTAATAATTTTTTAGTTGGTTTAAATCATATGTTAAAACTATTTAAATTGGCATACAAATCAACTATAATCTGTCAAATTTTGAAAATAAACTTGTATTAAAACATACCCAAGTTAATTGCATTACAAAATAGTATACAGAAACAAACACTATTAACATCCTACAAGCTACACCAAAAGGAGGATACACTTCCATATACAAATTTCCATGTTTGCACAATAAGTTATGAAAATCCACGAGAAATGACCCCAAAGTGTACATGTCGGTCCTCGTTTACCTAATAAGCCCGGAGATATTGGGGTTCTACGAGCCCTACTTTCGATACTGTGTGTGAAGCAATAGCTCAAAGCAACTGAAACAAGTTTGTGTGTTCCAGTGTAAGAGCCTAAAAAGTAAAAACTAGCATCAATTTCCTCGGAGAATGACACTTTAAAGTCCAAGGAGGTTTGGTGTAGACAGTGGAGGATTTGTGAGCATGTGAACAACTTCTCTCATATTTGGCCTAGATGAACTTTCATCCTCAACACACAACATTGCAATCTTGAACATGTATATGACACCAGTTAGTGGGTATCCAGTGAGCCTGGAGTCAATTACTGCAGGTACTGATGAGGTGTCTGACTGTTG